ATCAAGAAAACTTGATAGCCAGTTTTCATGTGGTCTGACTGGGGGAAATTATCATCCTATGACATCAGTACTGGTTAGTCCAGGAAATAGAATCAAGAAAACTTGATAGCCAGTTTTCATGTGGTCTGACTGGGGGAAATTATCATTCTATGACATCAGTACTGGTTAGTCCAGGAAATAGAATCAAGAAAACTTTGAGTCAGTGTCTAATGGTAGTAATCATATAGATATACTTTTACTTCTTTTCAAAATTGGCCTTGAAGTAAAGAACTCTTCACCGTAGGCAGTTTTCATGTGGTCTGACTGGGGGAAATTAGCATTTAATGTCACGAGTACTGGATTGTCAATAAATAGAAGATATTGGATGAGTGTGGGTTCATGATACTAAATTTATTGAATGAGATGAATAAATTATATTTCGTGAGCCAAGTGGTCGCCTTTTAAAAATACGAAGGTATAAGAACCAAAACAAACATTGATATCCTGTCGCCTTTTAAAACTACCTAAGCATAGAACCAAAAAAAAAGCAAGCAACAAATCGTCTAGGAGAAGTACTATAATAATTGGGTATAAAAACCAAATCAAACATGCAACAATTCGCCCTCCGACTTCCCTTCGCTGTATGCACGTCGCTCGGATGGCATTGGTCACACCAGATGGGTGACCTAGTTATGTCACTAAGCTGGTGTGACCTAACCAACGGCGAAGGGTGTGGCTCTACAAAGTGCTGCTGCTAACCCGGAAGAGGTGTCTTCACTCCTATTGTCAACTGCGTTCAAAATGCGAAGAACTTGTTCCTAGGGAAGATCTCTACGACAAAAGACGGCTATACGATCAGCGTCGTTGAAGGCGAACTAAGTCCTCCGTTGAAGGCTCTACGACCAGCGATGTAACAGAGGCTGATAGTCTGGGACATATGACAAAGCCGGCGCCCAGTATAAACAAAACTAAAATCATCATCAACAAGTCGCCTTTTACAAGTACTTGGGTATAAGAATCAAAACAAACAAGCAACAATTAATTCGCCTTTTAAAAGTACCTAGGTATATAAAATAAATCAAATGTGCAACAAGTCGCCTTTTAAAAGAACCAAAACAAACATAAGCATCTGGTCGCCTTTTAAATGTAATGAGGTATAAGAACCAAAACATACAAGCATTAGTTGGCCCTTTGAATGAAATTACAAAAACCAAGAAACAATTTGTCGTAGATTAAAAGTAGAGCCTGCGCCGATTGGAGGTAACGCTCGACAAAATTATGACAACTTAACTTAAATTCAATACTTTAACTTTGATGGTCAAAGTTATTTAAAGTTCAATGTCAATATCAGTTCAACTTTTCAGAAGGTCTTATCCAAAAGATTGTTTAATTGTCCAGGTATGAAAATTAAATAATTGGACCTTTAGTATACAGTCAAGCACAATGTAATGTCAATGTCACATCTAAATTATCCAAGAATAAATCAAATCCGTACATAAATAACAAAATTTTGACAATTTAACACAAAGTCAATAATTTGATTTTGACAGTCAAAGTCATTTTAAGGTCAAGGTCAAGTTCAATTCAACCTTTTAGTTCTAGTCCAAAATGTTGTTTTGTCAAAGTGTGAAGATAATCCATTTATCAATAACAAAGTTAAAGTCAATTATAGCAAATGTCAGTGAAAATTCAATAACTTAACCTTCAAGGTCAATGTCATGAATGAGCCGAGGTCAATTTGAGTTTGATACACAGGAAGGTCTTATCCTAAAGAATGCTGAGTTATACTAATTATGAAGTCAATTCAATTCTTTATAATAATAACAATTAAAGTTTTAGCCAGCTACAGCAAATGAGTGAATATTTCCGGTAAACTTGAAGGCAGGCATCCTAAAAAATTATTATGTTCATTAAGTCAAATTCATTCAAAAATAACACAATTATATAGATCTATATCCACAAATAGCAAAATAAAAAAAGAACAAACACACAAACAAAATAACAACAAGCAAAATTAAGACATTTGACCTTTAAAGTCAACATCATTTATGAATGAATGTCAAGGTTAGTCTGGTCTACTTGAAGGTCTTGTCCCTGGGCTTGTTGTGGCCAATTTGAAGACAAATATGTGTATGACCAGTATGAACACAATACACCTGGAACTTAAAACATTATGAGCAAAGTTAATTTTGCGGACGGCAACGCCGACATGACTGTAACAAAACCTCCAGTTTTGTTTGTTTGTTGTTATTGTTTTAAAAAAACAACAACAACAATATATATGAACCCAATCAAACAACTGAAAGCAATACAAATGTTTCTGAACAAACAACTGGCCAGATTATGATTGTTTTTATGTGTAAAACCACAACAAACAGACAATTAATGGACCACATTATGATAGTATCTATAAGATTTTGCTACTTTTAAATGAGATAAACTAAAGCTAAATCAAGTGCTATATGACACGAGTAGATTGGAAAATGTCTTAGATACACCGAATATAAAAAAATCATAAAGTTATATGTACGTTATAGTATCTAAAGATATCAATGAAACAAAAAATGTCACCAATAGTCAGGTTGTCATTTTCACGAAAGATCTTGAAAAATCAAAATTTTCATGGAAATATTTTTGATGAGATTTAAAGTATAATGTCTTAGTAACCGTATGCGCTAGTTCGTTTCTTCCAATTTGGTGAACAATAAAAATATTGGTCCATTTTATTATCGCGGTGCTCGTTTCAGTCACTGAAACCACAGTCACAATTCTGCGTTACTTTTTGCACAATTCCTGCGTTAAATGCACATTCCTGCGTTACTGGATATACATGGTAATTGCTGATTTCACCAGCAAAGTACATGATATAGTCAAATTGCACATTCAGCATTTTAATTATTACTAAAAATCTTAAAAACTGCATAAAGATGATGTTATATAAAAACTGTTATTATACAAGTAAATATTTATACGCCGGCAGTAGAATTTTTGTTAAAGTCAGTAATTGAAGTTACGTTACACAACCTGTGAAATATGTCTACAGTATAAAAGTAAGAAAGGGCCATATCTAATGCAGGAAAAAAAATGAATTCTAACCTCCTTTCATACTGTACTTTCTTCAAACTGAAATATTAATATTAAAGTTTAATTAAACGCTATAATTGATATTCAATAAGTCACTTTCGTCAGGTTCACAATGAGCGAAAGGAAGATAGATGTCTCAGCTAATGTATAAACATAATGCAAATAAATGAAGATTAAATCATCTTAATGATTAAAAAATAAGGTCTTTGGAAAAAGTTACTTCAAGCTACTCGCGGCAGTTTCGGCTGATTAAAAATGTATCATGATGAAAAGTATCTGTCTTATTTTTAAAAACGTTGTTTAAATAAGATTTTTTTTTTTCTTAACTGCGGATATTATACAAATATGGACTTTAAAATTAAGCTGGTGAATATGATGTGATATGGATGAGAGTGGTTTCGTCGAACTACCGGTTCGGCGAACAAATCTTATATAATAAACACTGCGGTATAATGTACCCCGCGCGCGCGGATATTGCTCGATATTTTGAGGACTTTCATCCCATTTCGCGACTTTGAACGAGGAAAGAAGGTGAGTTCAGTGACGATATTAAGTCATTTTGAATTGGTTTGATATAAATTTTATAGAAAAAACAAATACTTCGATAATTTCTCTAGTTACTGAAAGCCCAAAAATGTTGAGAAATAGCTTTGAAACACAGACACTTGGGGTTTGGAGCTCAAAACGCCTGTAAAGTCCAAATAAAATGCATATTTGTCAATCCCAGCACATGTACTGATCATATATATCAAAATTTTTTAATATAAGCCGTTTTGAAAAAAAAATCATATTTCAACATCCATAATGATACACAAGATAAAAATGTTCGCCGGAAAAAAATCCGCACCCCTACCGTCATAATCACCATGTATTTTAATCCATTTCCAATATTTTCACATAATCCTTTGGTCCATCGACACAGAAGATATAATTCTTCACGATGATGGTCAATTTTAAACTTCAACGGTAATATAAACAACGCAACAGCCGAAATAAACATCAATATTCTAGCCGTTTTTTTTTCAACGACAAAATGTTTCGATAAATTCAATGGACCAGACGGCTATGAACGAAGCTATCCGATTATGTGGTTCCCAAACTTAAAAGCGCTGCGCATTTTGCACACGGCAAAGCTGGGGCCACATAATCGGATAGCTTCGTTCATAGTCGTCTGGGGGCCTGTCTAAAACGCGGACGCCTTAAGCGGACAATATAAACATATAGGGAAAACGCTGACAATATAGACAAAGAGGAAAAAAGCGGACGATATAGATATATAGTGTAGACTAATTTGTGATGATTTTGGGCATTGATGAAGTTTATAAAAATGACGTGTTATTGGATTTATACTTTAATATATAAAAAAATATAATAAATTAGCAAATTGGGAGAAATATTAAAGTAATTTATGATTGAATGTCAATGAATTTTATTTTATATTTATATGACACATTTTCGGAATTTCTTAATATTGAAAACTATTATATGAAACAAATAGATCAAATGAATGTCCTTAGAATTACAATGAAGGTACTAAATTGGCAACAGCTGATATGTAATTAAGGATATGTATTTCATTTTGGCATTTTTTGTATGCCTTTATGTGCAGTAGGCGGACAAAATTTTTGTGTGCAAAATAAAAAAAGCCTTGATTTTTCAAAATCAAAGTTTGTAAGAGTAATTTTTAATCATAAATTATTGATATAAATAAGTGATGACGGGCTGTTGTTTTTTATTGATACAATATGAGCAGAAGCGTGCTGCAAATTAACGGTAATTATATAAGTGTGAACAACACGCTACTGATTAATCGTGTCGGCACTTAGCTAGAGATAACATGATACGCATTTTGCGGACAATATAGATATATAGGGAAAACGCTGACGATATAGATATAGAGGAAAAAAGCGGACGATATAGATATAGAGGAAAAAAGCGGGCGCTATAGATAGAGTGTAGAATGATGTGTGAGATAAAATTATAATAAAATAGATAATGATAATGTATAGTAATATTGTGAAGTAATAAAAACGAAGATAAAGAATGAACATCATTGCAATTTTATTTAAGCAATATAACACATTCGGTACATGAATTTATTTTACACATACAAATAATAATATCAATGTAACAACTCAATATATGTATATAGCTATAAAGAATATAACAATCACATATTTTAACAAAATCCCTTACTTAAGACAACAATATTAAATAGACAATGTATTAAACGTTTATAGGAAAAACGATGGCAATATATACAAAGCGGAAAAAATGCTGTCCAAAAATATATTACATTTAATTTATAATAAGTATTGTTTTAAAATTATAACTATAATTAAATTAATATTTTTTTTAATTAAAAATTATATAATCAAAAATTGTATGTTTTCAGACTGCAAATAACATTGATCTTAAAGTGAATTTTATTAAATGTAAAGTATATTATAAAAAAGTTCGTTTTTCCTTTAAGAACATAAACCACAATCAAAGTCATTATCAATGGACGACACATCAATGGGGGCATTAATACAATTTTTATGGAACCATTTATTACATTTATCACATAAAACCATATCATCAAGGCATTCAGGTAAATTACATAGACAATAATTATAAATATTAATAATTGTATCACTATAGTGTTTCCTTTTACTTAAAGTTTTCTTAGTTAATGGAAATTCCGTCATTTCTTTTCGTTCAAAACAATTTAACAAATGTTCACGGATTTTATTGGAATCGTATATAAGATCTGTACAAAGACGTTTACGTAAACAAAAAGAAGTAATAAAAGCAATTGCATATAATCCACAATCTACACTATTATTTTGTTTGATAACATTTGGTACATTAACTGCTATTGATGATTTATTTGATCCATAAAGCTGGGATAATTGAATTTTCAAGCCGTTTGGTATGATTCTGTCATTTGGTCTATCATTGCCTAAACTGTCCATTAAATGAATTTGATTATCTATATTAAACGATGCTACCCAGTGGTCATGGTGATTGTGGTGTATTTGGCAGGCCGGTGACTGTGCAGGTTCGAGTGGAAATTTACAACACCATCTTTTTTCTAGTTCATTAAAAGCGGGCACTTTCTCGGTTAGCTGCAACCCACCTATTTCGCCCATAGTTTGTTGTCGCAACATTATATTTACAGCCTCCATATGGTTTGAATTAAGTTTCTTATTATTTTTTAAGTCAATTATGTCATTTTCCGTGAGGCCCAAATCTCTGTCCCAGTATTCAATATGCTGTTCTATTGATTCGGTGCTATTGTCTCTTATTTCATAATTGTTAATTTCACTTTCTTCTTTGATTACAGATAAATCGTTTTCCAACTTTGGTAATTTATAGCTCAGTTCATCGGTACACTCTATTTTACGTTTATTTAATTTTTTGCCTGTTGGTGTGTTGTCTAATTTTGGAGTTGAAATATCAAATTTTAAGTTTTTTCGTATTGCACTGTTTTTGGGTGTCATAATTTTGCTTTTTGGAGTCGCATTTACTTTTTCACAAGTGTTTTTTAGAACAGAGTCTGGCGCGGGATTAATTTCAATGTCGGCATCATTGTCTCCAAATCTTCCTTTTTTTGTACCACACTTTTTGGAATGTTTTGGTCTACAGTTTTTGCGTAATTGTGTTAAGTTAAACACTTTTTTATCGTCCGGAATAGGCATTCCGATTGCTATCATTGCAGCAAGAATATGATAACATCTTGAAGTTGCTGGACATGAACACGACTCCTTAGGAAAAAGTGTCACTGAATATTTATTATCTTTGTTGCCTCGAACCATAAACGCTCCCATTTCAGGAACAAGAACTATCCCTTGTTCAGCTATAGTTTTGACCGCTAATGATTTTTGAGAATTCACACCTTTTTTGGGAATTTTTTCCACAGTTGGATCATTGTCATGTGAGTCGGAGTTATAGTTCATTTGGTTAGTTGTTTGTGTTACAGCACTTATTTCACCTTTTACCATTTCAATCATTTTATCGGGATGACAAACATTTTTCGGTAAAACAATGGTATCTGGATCTCGCGCAGCATATTTGAAATTATCACCTAGTGTCCATTCACTTTCACCACAGAAGCCGCGAATGATCTCACACAAATCATTTCCTTGTAAATAATTTAGATACATTACTATTTCATCAATCGCTTTCTCTTTGTATTCAATTAATCTTTTCAATTTTGAATTAAGTGACTCTACAACATTGTTTGTTATGCCAGAATAGGGGTTATATAATTTGTTTTCCTCAAGTATCCATCGTCCGGAATATTGTATTATTGTGTTATAAATATTGTCATCAAAGTAGGTAAGGAATGCTTCACTCCAAGATTGTTTCAGTTCGTGGTATTTCGTATCAAATATTTGGCGCGATTGTGAGTGTAATAAATCTTGAACATGCATATCATATACTTTTTTATCGTCGCTTGTTCCTCCGTGTTTGTTAACCCAAAATTTGATATCACTAAATATGTGGTTCCAGCATACAAGAATTTTGCTGTTTGGGAGACATTTTTCAAATGCATTGAGAATACCCTGTTCTCTGTCCATAATTATGTTCACTGGTTTTTCTTTCAGTTTTGGAATTTTGTCCTTAAGTATTTCAATAAAACTTTCATGACATTTTTGGAATTTTCTCTCGTGCAACATAAATGCTATTGGTACAGTTGGTCTTTCCTTGAACATAGGGTGCTGACACACTAGCGTAGAAACGTAGAAATCGCCTAAATTGAATGTAGTGTCATAGTAAAGCTCCACGTTTTGATCGTTCAACTGTAACAATCTATTTAATTCATCTAACATTTCACTATTTCCTAATATAACTTCAAGATCCGGGGTAGTCTTTATGCTTAATATATAATTTTCGAGTTGTTCAACTAAAATGTGGAGACTGTACAATGAATCATGACTTAATTTATTCTCATTTCTAATTTTTGCTTGAATATTTCTTATTTGTTTATCGTTTCGTGGTACACTTACACCCTGAATTTTAGATTCAGGTGATGCTTCCGACCTCATTTTATCTATCATTTGTTTGGGTTTTTCAGAGAGCGCGTTACACTTTATATTGTTCATCACTGACGGTTTTGTTCGTTTATGTTGTCTATTGTTACGTTTCCTGTTTCCGTGCGGTAAACCCTGATAAGCTTCGCTATCCCCGTAATAAGCAATTAAAGTCCGGTTGTTGTAATCGTCATCTAAGAAACGAAAAACGTGTTTCGTAAAATTTAAACTTGCTATTCCTTGATTAGATATTTTAAAAAAGGTTCGTATGATATTTTTTTCATTACTCTGATACACTCGTCTACCATTGTTTTTCCACGTGTAGCCATCGGCGCGCCAGTCTTCTGATTTTTTCGAATCACCAGAGTCATCGAACAGATATACACTTCCATTTGCTGGTCTATATGGAGGTTCAAAGGTTATACTATCCGGGACATTTTGAACAAGAATATCAGCTGCTTCGTGATGTGTTAAAATCCTATCAGTTTTTGTAAACATTGGCACATCATTTCCACCACCTACCAATTTAACACAATCGGTGCTTAAATGAAAGCGGTTGTCTGTTTCTATTAACACTATTGGAAGAGACTTACACCGATTTGACCGTTTGTTACATAGATTTGACCGTTTCTGCGATCGACTAGGTTTCGTTTCTGTGGTTGGGAGATGCGTTGTTACTTGAAGATTTGAAGATACGACCTCGCTGTATCGTCTTGGCCCATACGATAAAACCGTTGATGTACTACGGACGTTTGGTGTTTCAGTTTCAGTCAATGCTGTATGAGAATCGGCTGTTTCCGGAACTGGCACTGACTGAACAGGTAGCACTGAGTGCACCGCAGACATGATGCTTGAAGCAACCTCTGAAGTCCCGTCGAAACTAAGATGAAGACCATCCTTACTAAGGAGCTGTCGGTTGGCACCTGAAAATGTACAGTAGTGAATTTATATCAATGTTATCAATGGTAGGAATCACATGGCTATGTTGATTTTATATCACTTGCAAGATGTCGATCTGAATTTGTTAATCAGGTATTTGCTTTTTTGATAACTCCCACAAAACATATCAATTGTATGTCCAAGCAAGATACAAAAAAAAAAAGACATATTATACTTAAAGGCCTCTCGAGCCACATAAAAATTACAATTTTTGTATGTTATTGAAATGACTTGTTAATCAGGTATTTGCTTTTTTGATAACTCCCACAAAACATATCAATTGTATGTCCAAGCAAGATACAAAAAAAAGACATATTATACTTAAAGGCCTCTCGAGCCACATAAAAATTACAATTTTTTTATGTTATTGAAATGAATTTAAATGTTTACTAACCGAACATGGTGTGGAAATATGGTTGTTCAATTATATCAACCCATGGTACTCTCTTAGACATTTCCTTCAGGAAGTGGTTTACCGAGCCAGCGTCGTAGTTCCATTCCTGTAGGAATTTTGTGCCGAGTGCGTGGTCTTTAAACAAATTCTGGGCACGTGGAAGAACCTCGGAAACCAGGACAGTAGCACTGAATTCATAAAGAATTACAAACTTTATTACAAATTATTAGTTTAGAAAATTCAAACTGGGTAAGTTATAAAGATATAAGTGATTATAAAGACTTGTGAAAAAAGATTAAAAAGTCTTTTCATTATTTACAGGTAATGTGCGATTAATGACTTAATGACTTAATTTTCAATTCTTCTCGCCATTTGCTGATATTAAATTATATTTACAGACAATAACAGAAGCAGTACTTGGTTTATAATTACCATTAGACGGAAATAAAGAATTCAAGTTTCTTTCTTTGAGTTTTAATCTTCTACCTTTCTTACATACAACTATTGTTATATCAATTTTCCGAGTTAACAATTTTATCAAATTTATCAGTTAACATCTGAAATATATACCTTGGTGAGCTTTGATGAATTTTACGACACAATTGTTCTATATCTTTGGCAATACACAATGGTGATCTATACCCAATGTCGTTGGCTCCAACAACCAGGACCACAGTCTGCAAAAAAATGTTTTTTTTTAATTACTTAATGTAAACGATTTAAATAACATTACAAAACACTGAAATAGAATTGATATAAATTAATTATATACATTGTAGAAGCCAGATGTTTTTTTATTCATAACAGTTTTCTATTCTCCCGTTCTATACATTTATTTCGTCAGCGTTTTCCTTCTATATCTATATCGTCCGCTTTTTCACTATATGTCTATATTGTCCGCATTTTCTGTAGCCACTTTATTAATTGTACAAGGGTGAGATGTATGATTAATTGAAATATACAAGTGTCGGTGCGTGATTAAGTCAAATACACAGGTGACACGTGGATACTTTAATTAGTTGATTGGTATTTATATCAGAAAGTTTCTTTAATTAACTTAATGGATAAAATATAAATAAAACATAAAAATATTATGAATTAAAGAAAGTTAATTGATATAAATTAATTATATGCATTGTAGAAGTCAGATATTTTTTTTATTCATAACAGTTTTCTATTCTCCCGTTCTATACATTTATTCCGTCAGCGTTTTCCTTCTATATCTATATCGTCCGCTTTTTCACTATATGTCTATATTGTCCGCATTTTCTGTAGCCACTTTATTAATTGTACAAGGGTGTGATGTATGATTAATTGAAATATACAAGTGTCGGTGCGTGATTAAGTCAAATACACAGGTGACACGTGGATACTTTAATTAGTTGATTGGTATTTATATCAGAAAGTTTCTTTAATTAACTTAATGGATAAAATATAAATAAAACATAAAAATATTATGAATTAAAGAAAGTTAATTGATATAAATTAATTATATACATTGTAGAAGTCAGATATTTTTTTATTCATAACAGTTTTCTATTCTCCCGTTCTATACATTTATTCCGTCAGCGTTTTCCTTCTATATCTATATCGTCCGCTTTTTCACTATATGTCTATATTGTCCGCATTTTCTGTAGCCACTTTATTAATTGTACAAGGGTGAGATGTATGATTAATTGAAATATACAAGTGTCGGTGCGTGATTAAGTCAAATACACAGGTGACACGTGGATACTTTAATTAGTTGATTGGTATTTATATCAGAAAGTTTCTTTAATTAACTTAATGGATAAAATATAAATAAAACATAAAAATATTATGAATTAAAGAAAGTTAATTGATATAAATTAATTATATACATTGTAGAAGTCAGATATTTTTTTATTCATAACAGTTTTCTATTTCTCCCGTTCTATACATTTATTCCGTCAGCGTTTTCCTTCTATATCTATATCGTCCGCTTTTTCACTATATGTCTATATTGTCCGCATTTTCTGTAGCCACTTTATTAATTGTACAAGGGTGAGATGTATGATTAATTGAAATATACAAGTGTCGGTGCGTGATTAAGTCAAATACACAGGTGACACGTGGATACTTTAATTAGTTGATTGGTATTTATATCAGAAAGTTTCTTTAATTAACTTAATGGATAAAATATAAATAAAACATAAAAATATTATGAATTAAAGAAAGTTAATTGATATAAATTAATTATATACATTGTAGAAGCCAGATATTTTTTTATTCATAACAGTTTTCTATTCTCCCGTTCTATACATTTATTTCGTCAGCGTTTTCCCTCTATATCTATATCGTCCGCTTTTTCAGTATATGTCTATATTGTCCGCGTTTTCTATTTCGACTTGATGAAATATGGTAATAAGTATCATGTGTATGATTAAATTAAACACGTGCATGATTATACAAGTGACACGTGGACACTTTATTTAAATAAAAAAAAATGGAATCAGTATATACATAAATATATAATTTATACATTCTTACTGTTTTATTGTCTGGTAGAACATAACATGATTGTTCATATATTATTCAGGTTGATAAAGATTACAAAGGGGAATATCTTTGATATGAACTTACCGAAAAATATGGAGCAACTTCAAAAAATGTCCTCTTCGAAACAAAACTGGCGTGTTTTATATCCAGGATAGGAAAACACACTGTACGAATGTTGACACAAATAATCACTCATATATTTTACTTGACTGTGTCCTACAAACGAATGCCATTTTAACAATGCCTTAGTGAAAACACTTTATACAATATTTTACACAATTACACTTTAAAAGTTAAAGAACACAATAATTTAATAATCCAATTCAAATTAACACTTTGTAAGCAATGGAATGAATTCAAAGCATGTAACTTTTTTTTTTGGAAATGAGGGATGTGCACAAAAATTGACTGTATATATACCTTACCATTAACAGTTTTACCATTAAATAAGTTGCAATTACAACGTTGTGAAAAAAAAATACAAAAGATCAAAAACATAACGACTGAAATTAATTTCATGATTGGTCCCAATGTTGTTTTTTTCTATATTGTTCTTTGAAATTTATGTCTTAATTGCTCAATATCTAAAGAGCCGACAATTTTAATAATGTGACAAAGTCATTCACACTTAATTGTAATGCTTTAAGTTAATTTGCAACACGTGTATTTTCACCGGTAAACGATAATTATCAAAAAAATTACTCATTCGCCCACTATTTCATAATTATATATGTACACAAAAGAAGATTCGGCTAATATGTCAATTAATGTGCAATATAGAAACAAAAGTAAATTACAAATCATAGTAAATTGTATATTTTGAAAAGAATGTCAATCTACACTATATATCTATATCGTCCGCTTTTTTCCTCTATGTCTATATTGTCAGCGTTTTCCCTATATGTTTATCATGTCCGCGAATTGCGTATGCAAACTGTTCAAATATATTCAAACTAATTCTTGTGCCCTTATTCAGTTTTCCGCACGTGACTGTTGCATGTTTTGTACTGTTTAATTAAAAGTTATTAACTGTTTGTTTTGTTTGATATTACTTTATAAAAGCCAATTATTAGCCTTTAATATGAATTTAACTATGCTCTAAATTTAAGAATTTGAACAAATAAATAAACTAAAGTCTTTTTTAATTATTATAATTAATACATCTTTCAGATATTACTTTATAAAAGCCAATTATTAGCATTTAACTATGCTCAGACATTTTACACTATATATCTATATCGTCCGCTTTTTTCCTCTTTGTCTATATTGTCAGCGTTTTCCCTATATGTTTATATTGTCCGCTTAAGGCGTCCGCGTTTTAGACTGCGCCCGTCGTCTGGTCCATTGAATTTATCGAAACTTTTTGTCGTTGAAAAAAAACGGCGAGAATATTGATGTTTATTTCGGCTGTTGTGTTGTTTATATTACCGTTGAAGTTTAAAATTGACCATCATCGTGAAGAATTATATCTTCTGTGTCGATGGACCAAAGGATTATGTGAAAATATTGGAAATGGATTAAAATCCATTTTTAAAAATTGTTGAAGACTGGAAGTATTTCTTGGATAAAAACCAGTATCTGGCAGCTATCCTAATGGATCTCTCAAAAGCCTTCGACTGCTTGCCTCATGATTTATTATTACTTAAAATGAAATTTTATGGTATGTCTGAACAATCACTCAATCTTATTAAAAGTTATCTGTCTAATAGGCAACAATGTGTTAAGATAGGAAATATATGTAGTGATTATCAAAACATAATTAAAGGCGTCCCACAAGGCTCAATACTTGGACCGATTTTGTTTAATATTTTTATAAACGACATTTTCTTTTTCATAAATAAAAGTCAACTGTATAATTATGCGGATGATAACACTCTTTCTTACTCAAGCACTTGTAAAGCAGACTTGGTTAGCACTTTAGAAAAAGATAGTTTAACTTTGATAGACTGGTTCTCAAAAAATCAAATGAAGGCTAACCCTGAGAAGTTCCAGGCAATAGCTCTTGGGAAGAAAACCCACCAGCAGAAAATTAATTTTAAATTCAAAAATATAGAAATATCATGTGACGATGAAGTAAAGCTGCTTGGTGTAAACTTAGATTTTATGTTAAATTTTAATTCACATGTGTCAAATATATGTAGGAAAGCCTCTAAACAACTGAATGTACTAAAGAGAATTGGTAAACATCTTAATAGGTTAAGCAGACTCACAATATACTACTCTTTTGTCATGTCAAACTTTAATTATTGTCCTCTTACTTGGCATTTTACCAATGAATCAAACACTAGGAAAATAGAAAAAATTCAGGAAAGAGCTTTGAGATTTATTTATGATGATTTTAACAGTAACTATGATCAACTACTTGAGAAGTCTGGCCTTATTTCTTTGAAAGTTAGGAGATTAAGAGCAATTGCTTTAGAAACATACAAAATTCTAAATGATATGTCTCCTGTTTATTTAAATGATTTACTACATCTTAAACATTCGAAATATAATTTTAGACACACCAATATTGTTGAGGTACCTTTACCAAGAACTGACAGATATGGTAAGAAATCTTTCCGGTATGCCGCTGCCAAACTTTGGAATCAACTTCCAGATAATTTTAGACAAACTTCATCTTTTAACCATTTTAGATCATTGATAAATACTTGGCAAGGGGAGAACTGCTCCTGTACTTCATGTAATACCACATAACGCATGTACATCATCAAAAAGAAAAAAACCAAAATGTTGGCAGCGACATGCTGGATGTTTCAATTTTTTAGTTACTTTTGCTTTGCATTTGTTTTATAACTGTGCTTGATATGAGCTGCTTTTGTGTGCTTTTAATGTGATAGATTTATTTCTATTTTTAAGTGCTATGCTTTTGTGTGCTTTTATTGTAATAGATTTATTTCTATTTTTATGTGCTATGTATCATCTTTTATATACAGGTATAACTTGAATGTTTGTGTGTATGTTAATGTCAGGATTGATGTTCATTATGCATATTTTAACCTTGTCTTTCTATTGCTTAGTCCTAACATGTTTTATTTATTTATATATAATTTGCTCTTTTTATAAGTTGGTTTGTCAATGCATTTTATTGTGTGTATGCATGCCTGATGTTCCTCTGCTTAAATGTTTATGTGTCTTATATAAGCTGTGATGTGTGATCTTAACTTTTAGTATGTATATTAATGGTTTTTTATTATTAGATCTAATATGTATTACCTCTTACTTTTGTATGCTATTGATGAATGCTAGTACAGTGCTGTTTGTATACTCTATTTGTTAATGCAATGCTATTTGTCTAATTTTATCATAACCATTTTGTCATTTATCATATCTTAAACATGTGTTTTATATTATTGTAGTCGGTGTAAAAAGCTCATCAGAGCTTATGTTTATTGTTGATGTATCCGACTTATAAATAAAATTTACTTGACTTGACTTGACTTGAAAATACATGGTGATTATGACGGTAGGGGTGCGGATTTTTTCCGGCGAACATTTTTATCTTGTGTATTATTATAGTTGTTGAAATATGATTTTTTTTCAAAACGGCATATATTAAGATTTTTTGATATATATGATCAGTACATGTGCTGGGATTGACAAATATGCATTTTATTTGGATTTTAAAGGCGTTTTGAGCTCCAAACCCCAAGCGTCTGTGCTTTGAAATATAATAAATAGAGAAAATTCGTCTCTTTGCTCACGTGATAAATGAGCTCGGATCAGTCAAATTTGATGTTTTTGTCTTAAAAGAAAAACTTGAATCGAATGAAATGTGATAATGATGATGATGTATATGTTGTAAATGTTCAATCAACAATAGAACCTCAGATGACAGTGCATTTTTAGAATAAATACACATGTCAGTGTACCGAGTATTGCGTTGGAGTTGCCCGCCGGTGTCACGAGTATTGCTTTTTAGTGTAACGAATATTGGTTATCAATATAGAGTAAATGCAAGTAGTTAACAAAGAGTATTTACCACATTTAATCTTAATTTTTTCTTATTGTGTATACTTATTTACACTACATGTGCAGAATATGCAGAGTTCGGAGGTACTTTACTTTTCCTGCTCATGAAAAATCTCAGTCAAACGAACTCAGCAATTTTCTGTGTTTACAAAGTTCTCGTTGCTATCGAAGGATCAACCTTTCCAGAATTTGTTAATAATTATTGCATATTTTACTTTAAATAGTAAAAAAATGAATCCAAAGTGCATTAATGCTGCTTCAAGATTGTCAATATTAGACGGTTTTGAGCAAGTGTGCCAATATCTAATATCAATCGACTTCCTACTATGCCAAAAATCCATATATAAAGGTAACTTTCGGTCATTTTGCACCTGTACTCTATCAACAGCAGACCGTCTTTACCTGATTTTTTACGTCATAAGCAATGAGTTATCGTATGACTGCCGAGCGGGTATACAGCTAAAAATACCGAGTAATGGATTTTGATAAGATTATGATAAAGGGCAGCAGATGCAATAAAAAGGTTATGTTCCTTGCAACCTTTTACCTCATAAAGGCGTGTTTTGAAGGCTTTACACTCCACCCCTTTTGAGGCCTCAAATAGTGTAAAACATGCTATTTAGGCCCCAAACACTGTTATGTTGTTCAAAAGAGTGATCACTTTTTGGGCGCTACCCCCTCCCATTAAAAGGTACATCAAGGGGGTGCCACATGGGGGATTTGCCCCTTCTGATTGGGGGTAAAAAGTGGGACAGTAGCTACTCTAAACGCCGATAATATAATATAATCGGCTATAATTATTGTTTCAGGTCGATTTAAAGGTACCGTGTAATCGACGCCGAAAAGCCTGGGACTTTCTCTCAATCAATTGTGAAGTTGCTACACCTTGAAACCAGTTTTGATGGAAAAAAACAACGCAAAATAAGGTTTTTTGGTAATTTTGAGACGTCCCCCGTTGCCATGGTTACTTGAAATTTAAAATTGAGCATGCTATTCCAAAGGCTATGGTCCAGCCAACATGTGTGCCCAGATTGATCAGTATATATTGAAGCATTTTTTTTATAGTTTCATAGCAGTTTGAACTTGTAACGGGAGGCTTAATTCAATGAAAACAGCCATTTTTCGCAATATGCTCATGCAGTAAAAGGTTAAGACGATACCGGCCTGCTTGGATGGCATAAGCCATCGGGCCAATATTTTACTAAGTGTGTCGATATGTTTATTAAGGCAAAACTTGTCTTGTAAAAGCCTATTATTAATTAATGTCATCTAAATATGTTTTTTATTCTTCTTCTTTTCAGAGATGGGTCTCCTTGATCACAGTTTCTTGAGACATGTATTTAAAGATTTTTATCGTCAATTTTGATGGTTCTACCCTGCTCCCGAGCCTGCTTCCGAACCTGCACACACTTTACTTCATCCATAGTGTGATTTTCAATTAAATGGGAAATTAAATCTGTATTTGCTCGTAGAAAAAGAACAGTAATAACACTGAAAAAATGCAGTGTTGAATCTGAAATATTTGAAAAAATATCATATAAACAGTACATTATCAGCAAAATAAAATGAAATCGATTAACAGACGTAAAAATTAGACCAAAAAATCGATTTTCCATACTAATGTGCTCATTAATTCTGTTTTGCAATACACTGTACACTAAAGTTGGGCTATTTTGCAATACTCTGTACACTCGGTACACTTTCTTGCATCTTTTTTGGCCTGTATCTTTTTGTACTTTCACACTTTTTGCCTGAAATTTGGACAAAGCATACTTGGATTGTGAATAAAAAACTGTTCGATTCAATCTTTTTTTATATTGGTAATATAATAATTTCTAACGATTCTACAGAATCGCGGTCAGTATTTTCTAGTGAGCAGCGGAACGTATAGGGGTAGTTTAATCAATTTTACAAATACCTGTAATACTTGTTTGTCTTTTAGAGCTACAAAAATATCATTAGATATATAAGATCCGTTGAGATAAATGAAATAGCCATTATATAGTTTGGAAATATCGTCGCTGAACTTACCTTCGTTCAAAGTCGCGAAATTTAAATGGGATGAAAGTCCTCATAATATCGAGCAAATATCCAGGGTACGGTATACCGCAGTGACAAAACAGGTTGTGGTTTCGGCGAACTTACATGTAATTTATACAGTGCAAAAATATGTATTGTAAAATCGGCACGTCAATTACCGTGGGTCTTATAATCTGTTGTTTATCACACATTTTCATGCAATTATATAAAGACAATATATTGAAAATGTAAACAATTGACACATGCATTGTATTAAAGAGAATCTACCATGATTGTTACGTAATAAACAACAACAATCTGTTTTTATTCTCTATTCATCACTATATAAAACTTAAAAATTGTCCTCATAAATCCTGTCGTTGAAGTTGTTATATCATGAAATGTGGCTATATAATATCAGAAGTTGTGAAGTAGTCATCTCATCATCTTCGAACTTGTCCCAGGCGTCGAATAAGGCTCAAATATATATATTTTTTTAAATATTTTTCTCTCAAAACTAATTAATCAAATGAGCCGTGTCACGACAAAACCAACAAAGTGGGTTTGCGACCAGCATGGATCCAGACCAGCCTGCGTATCCGCGCAGTCTGATCAGGATTCATGTTGTTCGCTTACAGACCCTAAAAAAAGTAGAGAAACTGATAGCGATGCGCAGGCTGGTCTGGATCCATGCTGGTCGCAAACCCATTATGTTCGTTTTGTCGTGACGCGGCTCAAATAACATCAATATAGATATAATATATATACATGTACATACTTCTACAATATATTCTATTCATTAATGAAATTTTGTGTAACAAACATCACTGTTGTACAGCGTCCACCGGATAAAAATACCGAAAGCTTCATACCGAGTTCACACAAGGTAATGTTTTATTTAACTTATTTCTTCATAATAACTTCATCGATTTTTCCAAACTTGTGTATTCATACTATTGTGTACGAGGTCCTTATCCGAAGACTGACGGAAAGGGCTTGATCTCTTGTACTGATAAGGGGAGATCATTGCATAGGAGATTGCATTCATGAATAGCCGAGGTCAATATTAATTGTTCAGTGCATATCACATCATATTCACATCTAAAAAGTCCATGCCTGTTTTATTATATAATTTATATATAAGTATCTTTTATATGGCTTATTCAAATCTGTCATTGCGTACGTAGGTCTCAACCCGGTACGGAATTAGACCGAACCCATTGTAGTCTAGAAAGTAGTTCTTTAAAATTATGAAATGGCCCAATTTAAGTCATCTCGAGTTAGATTGGTCATAATTAAAGTGTATTTATTGCATGTGTGTAGTTTTTGTTTGTTATATGATAACTTTAAAAGTTGTTTTTTGTGTATTCTCCAGGAACTCATTTGTTGGTGGAAGGATTAAATATGTACTACCCACCAGCTGTCAGGAGTTTTTAATGTGGTGAATTTAAACAGATTACAACAGAATGAAGATTTCTGAAAAAAGTAGATGGCTAACCTATTACATTTTGGGCATCATTTGACTAAGATAGTGTTAATGTTTAAAGTTAAAGACAGTATATAATTCACCAAGAACAATGGAATCCAGAATTAAACCTCAAATTTGACTGATTTACTATAGAACAAATAGTACGAAAATTCACAGAGCCGAGTCCAAGATCGTGAATAAGAGACGATACAGAAGGGTGAAAAAATGTCCGAAGAAATAGTGATCTTTTCGCTATAATTGATACTTTCCGCAAATTTGCAGAAACGCTTTTTGAAAATCAGGCGTCGCCTTACAATGATTAACTGTTTCTTGTGTCAACAAATATTTGATCAACAAATAGGCTTAGCTACCCTTTGGACGCTTTGCAGTTCCAAAGTCCAGAATCGTGAACTTTGAATTTTGATAACAAAATAATTAACATATGACTAGCGTGTTTAGTTTTGCGAGGCAAATACGTACTTGCGTTGACTTGCTTGGTAACAGGATGACCGCCAAACTTCTTGGATTTTTTCTACTTGGAGTATTTTTAAGCTATTATGTCGGATTTTCTTGTACTTTTACAACAATTGCCGTGTTCGGAATATACTTGGCGACCGGGGGATGGAAGTTTATGAAAGTTGTCATTGTAACATTACCACGAGATTTAAGGTTTGCTGTTAGATTTCTATGTTAGTAAATTAATTTTACAGTAGGATTAGGGTCGGCGTAAAAAAAATATTTTTTTAGAATATCTGAAAATGTTTCAAGTTATCTTTGATTTAGGTCACTGGTGCTTTTATTGGAAAAGAGTCAACTCGGCCCTATACCAACTCGGCACGGGTCAACTCGGCACGGGTCAACTCGGCCCACTTTTGACAGTGCTAAAAATAGCTCTACACAACTGATAAGAATTACATACTTGAGGTGTCAATTATTGATTGCTTTTAAAGGTTTATAATACGTCTTTGATTACTTGGAGAACCTGTGCATTTTTTATTTCTTTTTCCATTAAATATTCTCAGGTGCATTTTGATATTCAAAATTAATATGATATAGCATACAAGTAAATATATTTTTTTTTATATTTTATACATTTAATCAGAAAAACTGCTGCTTACTTTATTCTTTCACAGCAATTCATTTTTTTGTTTTATTTTGTTTTTTTTTTAAGGTGGAGGATGGGGGGGGGGGTATATAGACATTTATATATTATAATTATGGATTTTTTTTTCAATTTAGACTTTGGAATCTCCAAAAATGACCTCCAATACAGTCATTTTTGTAATATAAAAATGATTCATGAAGTCAAATGACACTAGAAAGAAAATGATTTGACTCATGAAAATTTTGGCCAAAGAGTCTTTGACTCGTGAAATTCTGACCCTACTGAGAGCCCTGTTCACCATTTTATCCTGGTGCGGTTCACTGCTGGTGAAGTCACATGACAATGCTAATAGCAGACAAACGACCATATGTAATCAGCAACATATAAATTACTAAAATCTTTTAACACTAGAGTTCTGGGGCTGTAAAATTTAAACTAAAAGTTGGGTACTTGAAATGTATGAACATAATTTGGTTGTTACATTTTTATTTATTCAATATGTTTTCTTCATAAGATAAAAAAGAAATTTATTCGAAAAACAAACCTGCAATATGTAGTACTGTACGCCGAGCTATGGTACAATTTCATGCAAACCGCACTTGGTTATCTGGACTATCTTTACCCTCCGCCATGTATGTCATAATGTGATTAGCAAATTTTACACAATGGCTATTTAAAACAATATAATTGGTCTTGAAAATGGAGATATAACATTGAGCTTTGCTGACGTTGATTTGAATTTGTCATATCAAATATAGTATTTTTACGCAGAGCGTAGGTCCACCCACTCTAGATCTTCAAACGGGTTTCATTTGATATTTTGGTAAGTAGGTGGCTACGCTTTGCTCCGGTAGAAATAGAATGCAAAATGGACTCTGTTCACGAATGAGTGAGACTATAAAAGGATTGGATTGTCATGATTAACAATGTATGTACATTGTATCTATAAATAAGATAATTTTCTGGCTGTAAAGTAGGTTATTTTAGATTTTAAACATCTGGGACACCTACGGGATAGACACCTGACCGGGGAAGTCCCTGACTTCCTGGACTTAATGGCATGTATTTGTGTACATTGTATCTAAAAATAAGATAATTTTCATTGAATAACAGAAATAACATTGTATTTATCATTAGATATGATGATCTATTTACAGAGCTTTGTCAGTATTATTACGATTAAAATGGAATGTAAAGAAATTCAACCAGACTGGAAGCAGCGTTCCAAAACTATTCCGGACAACAGTAGAGAAATTTCCAAACAAAACATGCTTTATCTATGAAGATAAAAGATACACATTTCAGGTGAAGAAGATTATTTTAACCCTTAATTAAACAAAATTAATAACAAATTTCAATTGTTAACTTAGTTAATCTGACCAGACTCACTGTATTAGACTGTTGGCTGATTAACTTAGTTAGTCTGACCAGGTTATATATGACTGTTTGCTGATTAACTAAGTTAGCCTGAGCAGGCTGTGTAAGACTGTTGGCTGATTAACTTAGTTAGTCTGACCAGGTTGTATTAGACTGTTGGCTGATAAACTTAGTTAGTCTGACCAGGTTGTATATGACTGTTTGCTGATTAACTAGGTTAGCCTGACCAGGCTGTATTAGACTTTTGGCTGATTAACTTAGTTAGCCTGACCAGGTTATACATGTATATGACTGTTGGCTGATTTACTAGGTTAGTCTGACCAGGCTGTATATGACTGCTGATTAACTTAGTTAGTCTGACCAGACTGTGTTAGACTTTGGCTGATTAACTTAGTTAGTCTGACCAGGTTGTATATGACTGTTTGCTGATTAACTAGATTAGTCTGACCAGGCTGTATATGACTGCTGATTAACTTAGTTAGTCTGACCAGGTTGTATATGACTGTTTGCTGATTAACTAGGTTAGTCTGACCAGGCTGTATATGACTGTTTGCTGATTAACTAGGTTAGTCTGACCAGGTTGTATATGACTGTTTGCTGATTAACTAGGTTAGTCTGACCAGACTGTGTTAGACTTTTGGCTGATTAACTCAATATTTCATATTGATATCCCAAATTGATAATTGACACTTCTGAAAGGGAAAACATTCATTTTGAAAAGTCATTTACTCACAAACACCAGGATAAGTGATAATGTGTAAATTTTGTATGTTTACAGGAAGTAGATCTGCTAACCAACTCAATAGCTAACTTTTTTTACGAGTCTGGCATACGTCAGGGGAGTGTTATTTCTATCATTATGGAGAATAGACCAGAAGTTGTGTTTTATTGGCTTGGATTGGCTAAGATTGGTGCAGTGGGAGCGCTCATTAATCATAATTTGAGGGATAAGTCATTAGTCCATTGTATAGAAGCTGCTGAGTCACAAGGAATTGTTTTCTCACAAGAGTTGTCACCAGGTAAGACGTAAATTAAATACTGATTCATTTATTATTGTTTATTTTCTCTCTTGCTACAGTCTGCAAACTTGTATCTTGATCATAACTTTTAAAGTTCTTTGTGTATTTTCTTTATATTTGGTCACCATAACATTTGGACCAAGACTTTTCAGTAGACCAGTCTAACCTTGACCTTCATCCATAAATGGCCTTGACCTTTAAGGTCTCCTGATTTTGCTTCTTTCTTGCTATTAGTGGCTATAACATTGTTATAATGGATTGTCTTCAAACTTGAATAAAATATTTGTTTTAGGATACCTCTTTAAGATGATCAGACAAAACTTGACCTTCACTCTTATATGACCTTGACTTTGAAGGTCAAATTATTGATTTTTTTTTTATATTTATTTGCTGCAACTGGCTGTTACTTTGTTACTATTGAATGGATGGACTTCATATTATAACAGAACATTCTTTAGGATAAGACCTTCATGTATAACAAAATCAAATTGACCTTGGGCTTTTTATGACTTTGACCTTGAAGGTTAGATTACATGTATTGAATTTTCACTGATTTTGCTTTACTTGACTGTAACTTGGTAATTTATAAATGGATAATCTTCATATTTGGACAAACACACCTTCTGAAAGGTTGAACTTAATTTGAGCTTTTATTAAATTTGCAAGTTGTAAATACTGGTAATTTAGGTTGTACGCCACTATGTAAATTTAAGAAACAGTCTGGTTGCTGACCAATGCCACCACCCTCCACCCCCCACTCCAAATGAAAAATGTCCCGGAAATAAGTTTAAAAAAGATGGCATTTATGGCTATGACATACTGACAAAGTTAACATTTTGTCTCAAATTTTGTTTCAGCTATTCAGGATATAGCCAGGGACTTGCCTAACACTCTCCAGCTGTATCATATTGGTCAGGGCTCAGTTTCAGGGGTCAATGCGATTTCTCTGGATACTTTGTTGGAAAAAAGTCCAACTTATCTTCCACCAGCACCAAAAACCAGGTTTACAGGTACATCTTAGTTAACTTTCTACTTGCTGAAAAAACTTAAATTGACTTGTTCGTCCAAACTTTTAAGAATTATCTGTTATCATTTATAGGGATATGAAGATAAAAACTAAAAGGTTAGTCAGTTAACAGGATTGTAACTTTTTAAACTGTAGACTGCAAAGTTGTGCAGGATGGCTTAGAAAAGGCAGAATATAATCATGCTTGGTTTCGGCAGGTAAAGGATTAAAGGGAGAAACTTCCAGTTAAATCAAATAGATCTTCAAAATTTCCAGGTAAATCAAATAGATCTTCAAAATTTCCAGGTAAATCAAATAGATCTTCAAAGCTTCCAGGTAAATCAAATAGATCTTCAAAACTTCCAGGTAAATCAAATAGATCTTCAAAACTTCCAGGTAAATCAAATAGATCTTCAAAGCTTCCAGGTAAATCAAATAGATCATCAAAACTTCCAGGTAAATCAAATAGATCTTCAAAGCTTCCAGGTAAATCAAATAGATCTTCAAAACTTCCAGGTAAATCAAATAGATCTTCAAAACTTCCAGGTAAATCAAATAGATCTTCAAAACTTCCAGGTAAATCAAATAGATCTTCAAAACTTCCAGGTTAATCAAATAGATCATCAAAACTTCCAGGTAAATCAAATAGATCTTCAAATCTTCCAGGTAAATCAAATAGATCATTAAAACTTTCAGGTAAATCAATTAGATCTTCAAAACTTTCAGGTAAATCAATTACATCTTCAAAACTTCCAGGTTAATCAAATAGATCTTCAAAGCTTCCAGGTAAATCAAATAGATCTTCAAAGTTCCAGGTAAAACAAATAGATCTTCAAAACTTCCAGATAAATCAAACTTCCAGGTAAATCAATCAGATCTTTAAATTTCCAGGAAAATCAAATAGATCTTCAAATCTTCAAGGTAAATCACATAGATCTTTAAAACTTCAAGGTAAATCAAATAGATCTTCAAAACTTCAAGGTAAATCAAATAGATCCTCAAAAAATCAAAGTTTCATTTATAAAGAAATATATTTACATGTTCTCAATGCAGATGTTGAATATTATTCAAAAGAGGGAAGTCTTTGTTTTTGATCACCACAAATTCTTGCAATCCAATTTTTAACAAAAATAAAAGCAGAGAATTTTTCTGCAAATTTGATAAGTAATAGATGTATTTTATGTACAGTAAGTGTCTTGGACTATGTGTAATCATATTGAAAATATTCTAATTTATTGCACCATTATTTTATTTTTTTTATTTTTCATAAAATTAACACAAATCTGGAAGCATACTGCTTCAAATACTTGCTCATATTGACAAGGTTCAGTAGTTAGTCCAGGGGCTTAAGGAGAGAAACATCTTCTAATGGGTGTCTACCAAGTTTGTTCAAATAAAAGCCCTGGGTTTAAAACTGGCCCAGCTCCTTGGGCCTAAATACAGGTGAGTGACTTCAGGGCCATCATGGCCCTCTTGTTGCCGAAAGTTATTTTAACAGACAAGCTTTAACATTGCAAGCAGTGCTCTGAATTTAAGTTTTTATCTATGTTTATTTATATATTTTCATTTTCAGATAAATTGTTTTATGTGTATACTTCTGGAACGACGGGTCTACCAAAAGCTGCTATTATATCTCATTCAAGGTATGTTATAGAAGTGAGTCACACTGTAAAGTCAGATTATTTCTGTGAGGCCAAAATTTTGTGAATTTAAATCAACAGTTTGGACTGGTTTATTGGGTAAAAGATTCCTATAATACTAAATGCATTTTCAGTTCTATTTAATTTATATGATACTTACAGAACATTTATTTTCACAAAAATCTTGCAAATTTGAAAAATTGGCAAAAAAATTAAACCTTGGCAAAAATGTCTTATTTTACAGTTGTACAACTCCATATATATGTGTATAGCAATAAATTATTTTATCACATAAACCGCAGTGCAAGAGTGTAATAAAGCCATTTAATAAAAAGGATATTACACTAGTGTAATAACACTTTGATGTGACGCCATTTGCGCTGTATAGAAACATAGCGTTAAAGCACGCTAATTAAGCGTTACACTATTAACTTGTCATTGAAATATTATTCATTTTAGCAGTTTACTGTTCTTATTTTATATATGTGATATATAGAATATTATATTTGTGTATATTCAATACTAAATTTATTGAACTCGTTGAATAACACAATATTATGTTCGCCAGAGGCTTGCATGATATGATTTTATTCAACTCGTTCAATAAATTTAGTATTAAACTACACTCATTCAATATCGTCTATGTAAGTTATATGTTAAGGGATATATAGGAGTAGATGAACGAGAATAATTATATCGGTCATATGTTGCGGTTCAGTATGGAATATCTCTCCCAAGGTAACCCACCCATGGGCATGGGTAAAAATAACAGAAATACCAGTTTGATATGCAAGAAAAGATCTATTTGACACGAGGCTGTAACCATGGTAACTGAGTATACAGATTACTCCTATTCCTAGAGATACAAGTGAGGCCCTTTAGTGGGTAAATTCTAATGGTTAGATACATGTACTATGTGTTAAATTGAAGCGAATAAAGAAAATTAAATTATTTATACTGCCAGAGTTGTGACATCACAAATATGTATTGATATTATATTTATACACTTATTCATAAGGAACAATGATTTTTATTATGATCACTGCATAGTCATTGTCTTTGTCATGCCAAAACTTTATCATTGTTGATCATTCAATCATTGTAAAATGTTTTCAACATGAGACTTGGAATACTTGCTTTTCATGACAAGGTGCATTAGTTAGACAAGGGGCATAATTATAAAAGATAATCATATACATGTACTTTTGGAGTTATGCCCCTTTGTATCTTAGAATTGTTGTTAAAATTGGTTTCACAAAACAGACGAGCATTATAATGGCAAGGGAGGGTGCTCTTGTTTTGGTTTTGTTCTGATTTTCTGTTTGCATGTGAAGAAATGTAATATGAAGGAATGTAATGTGAAGAAATGTAATATGAAGGAATGTAATGTGAAGGAATGTAATGTGAAGGAATGTAATGTGAAGGAATGTAATATGAAGAAATGTAATAATATGAAGGAATGTAATGTGAAGGAATGTAATATAATGAAAGGAAAGACCATCTTACTACTCTGATGATGTTGATTGTGCAGCGTCAACAATGATTGTGTTGAAATATTATATCCCAATGACATTTGCTCTGTGATGTCTTCAAGTCCCACTCTCGGTCAAACAGCTCTACACAAATTCACCAAATTCACACAATTTTAGCAAAACAAAACATAAAAGCACACAGCACAATAAACTTACTCTGGAATAAAGAATATTTTGGGTTTTTTGTAACCCAGCTAATCGGGGGTACAAACAATTTCTTACAGTTGCAGCTTCGTAAATAAGCGCAACAGATTGACAGGTAATCACTCTTTTTTGACCAGTTGAACAACGTTAAGCTATAACATTAAAGTTTGTTTGCACCGGAGGATTAGCTTGGAAAAACCCACATTTGCCGAGTTCCGGATAACATCTATTGCAAACTACGATCAGTAAAATAATTTTCCTATAATTACAGATTCTACTACATGTCTTACGCTGTCAACCTTTTCTTAGAGATCGGAAGTGATGACGTTCTATATGATGCTCTCCCTTTATATCATACAGCAGGGGGGATAATTGGAGTTGGACAAGCTTTTCTAAGGGGAACAACTGTTGTTATAAAAAAGAAGTTTTCTGCTAGTAAATTCTGGGATGACTGTGTCCAACATAAATGTACAGTAAGTGGCTTTTTATCTTATATCTAATGAAGATTGTGTCTATCCATGTGTACAGTATATCATGTACAGTTAGTGGCTTCTAATTTTATATTTAATGAAGATTGTGTCTATCCATGTGTACAGTATATCAGTGAGATATATCGCTTGACCTATTAAAAATTTCTCTTTAGATGGTACAGTATATCAGTTAGACATATCACTTGACCTATTAAAACTTTCTCTTTAGATGGTACAGTATATCAGTTAGACATATCACTTGACCTATTAAAAATTTCTCTTTAGATGGTACAGTATATCAGTTAGACATATCACTTGACCTATTAAAAATTTCTCTTTAGATGGTACAGTATATCAGTGTGACATATCACTTGACCTATTAAAAATTTCTCTTTAGATGGTACAGTATATCAGTTAGACATATCACTTGACCTATTAAAAATTTCTCTTTAGATGGTACAGTATATCAGTTAGACATATCGCTTGACCTATTAAAAATTTCTCTTTAGATGGTACAGTATATCAGTTAGACATATCACTTGACCTATTAAAAATTTCTCTTTAGATGGTACAGTATATCAGTTAGACATATCACTTGACCTATTAAAATTTTCTCTTTAGATGGTACAGTATATCAGTGAGATATATCACTTGTACAATTTAAAATTTATATTTAGATGGTACAGTATATCAGTGACATATCACTTGACTTATTAAAATTTTCTCTTTAGATGGTACAGTATATCAGTGTGACAAATCACTTGACCTATTAAAATTTTCTTTTAAGATGGTACAGTATATCAGTTAGACATATCACTTGATCTATTAAAAATTTCTCTTTAGAAGGTACAGTATATCAGTGACATATAACTTGACCTATTAAAAATTTTCTCTTTAGATGGTACAGTATATCAGTTAGACATACCACTTGTCCTATTAAAAATTTCTCTTTAGATGGTACAGTATATCAGTGAGACAAATCACTTGACCTATTAAAAATTTCCCTTTAGATGGTACAGTATATCAGTTAGACATATCACTTGACCTATTAAAAATTTCTCTTTAGATGGTACAGTATATCAGTTAGACAAATCACTTGACCTATTAAAAATTTCTCTTTAGATGGTACAGTATATCAGTGAGACAAATCACTTGACCTATTAAAAATTTCTCTTTAGATGGTACAGTATATCAGTTAGACATATCACTTGACCTATTAAAATTTCTCTTTAGATGGTACAGTATATCAGTTAGACATATCTCTTGACCTATTAAAAATTTCTCTTTAGATGGTACAGTATATCAGTAAGACATATTACTTGTTCTATTAAAAATTTCCCTTTAGATGGTACAGTATATTAGTTAGACATATCGCTTGACCTATTAAAAATTTCTCTTTAGATGGTACAGTATATCAGTGAGATATATCACTTGACCTATTAAAAATTTCCCTTTAGATGGTACAGTATATCAGTTAGACATATCGCTTGACCTATTAAAAATTTCCCTTTAGATGGTACAGTATATCAGTTAGACATATCGCTTGACCTATTAAAAATTTCCCTTTAGATGGTACAGTATATCAGTAAATATTATGCTTGACCTATTAAAACTTTCTCTTTAGTGGGTACAGTATATTAGTTAGACATATCACTTGACCTATTAAAAGTTTCCCTTTAGATGGTACAGTATATCAGTAGACATATCACTTGACCTATTAAAAATTTCTCTTTAGATGGTACAGTATATCAGTTAGACATATCACTTGACCTATTAAAAATTTCTCTTTAGATGGTACAGTATATCAGTTAGACATATCGCTTGACCTATTAAAAATTTCTCTTTAGATGGTACAGTATATCAGTTAGACAAATCACTTGACCTATTAAAAATTTCTCTTTAGATGGTACAGTATATCAGTAGACATATGCTTGACCTATTAAAAATTTCTCTTTAGATGGTACAGTATATCAGTTAGACATATCACTTGACCTATTAAAAATTTCTCTTTAGATGGTACAGTATATCAGTGTAGACATATCACTTGACCTATTAAAAATTTCTCTTTAGATGGTACAGTATATCAGTGAGACATATCACTTGACCTATTAAAAATTTCTCTTTAGATGGTACAGTAAGAATATCCTTGACTATTAAAATCTTTAGAGGTCAGTGACATATCACTTGACCTATTAAAAATTTCTCTTTAGATGGTACAGTATATCAGTTAGACATATCACTTGACCTATTAAAAATTTCTCTTTAGATGGTACAGTATATCAGTGAGACATATCACTTGACCTATTAAAAATTTCTCTTTAGATGGTACAGTATATCAGTTAGACATATCACTTGACCTATTAAAAATTTCTCTTTAGATGGTACAGTATATCAGTTAGACATATCACTTGACCTATTAAAATTTCTCTTTAGAT